CACGAAGGCGTGACAAAATACCTCTAAATAATGATCAACTGGAGGTATGCTGTATGCGCAAAATTTTGTGTGGACTTAAATCATGCCTAATTCTCCTACACATCTGCCACTTTAGCTACATGTTGATGACAATAATAACCAGACTTCCAAAAGACGAAGAAAAGTACTTGCGCATGAAGAGCAAATACTGGAACGTCTGTTGGCTTATGAAAAGATTCCAAGCCATATATATGATGAGACGCTTCAATTACTTGGAGCTGAATGGGATAAGAAAAGGGTATATGGTTGGTGGAATTATCGTATTAATAAATAATAATTAAATCAAATAAATTCTTGTATTATTATTCTATAATATTTACAAAGTTAAATAAACAAGTTATTCTTGATTTAATTTATGTTTTACCTTGTTATCATATATACAAAAACGAAATTTTGCAGTTTTTACAAAATCGGCAGTCAAAACGTCAACTTTTTTTTACGTAAAACGAAAAATAGCTACGAAATACATATATCTGGGTGGTATTTACGAGCTTTCAAGTACGTTTAAAAGTTCAATCATCGACATGTAGGTAAAAAAGTGTGTAAAGTTTAAATAATAATATTTTTATTTTAGATATTAAAATAACAAAAAAAATTATAAAAACGTGTCGAAAAGCATATAAAGAATAAACGGTAAATTTTTTTTTTTTTTTATTATTATATATATATAGCTTAATTTACTTAAAGATTGATTGGCATGATAGGTTACACAAACTTTATTTATTAATGATCGTCAACTCATGTGACATTTCCGACGACTGATAATAACAAAAAAATATATAAATATAACATAACCTTTCTTTTTTTTTTGTTTAAAGAGTAGTGGAAGCATATACTGAAATCTTATAATATAGTGATCCTATATAATTCAATAGTAATTATAGATGTCTTATAGATGGGGAACTGGTTTGGAGTTTTAATAAATTAGTTATATAACAGATATTTTTGTATTCTTATATATAATTAATAAACTCGCAAATTGCACTACCTTGCAAAAAAAAAAAAAAAATTTAAATCAATTAATTATATAAAAATTATTAAATTTAAATGTTTATAATTTTTTATATAAACATTTTACATTTTTTTGAAAATTTAATCAGTAAAGCAAGTATAAATAATTAAAACTTAGTAAAATTATTTTAGAAAATTTTTCATTTTCTGAAATTGGTAAAACTGCTAAAATTAGTTTAAAATATTTGATTAGTTAAATTAAAATTTTAAACAAATATATATATATAGAATTATAGATTAAATAAAAATTTCAAAATTTATTAAAATCAATAGCAATTATTTTTAATAATACTAAACAAATTTATATTTAATATTAAAATTTTTTATACTCTAAAAAAATTATTTTATTACTATTTATATTATCTCTCAAACTGTAGAGACTAAAATTAATTTTAGAAATTTTTGAATTTTTAAAATATCTTAAGATCTAATGATCATAGAAAGATGAAATTATATTTATTAGATTCCTCTTATTAAAGTGCATTTAATGATAATAAAATCATAACTCTAAAATTGATAAATAAAAAGTTATATTAATTTATAAATTTTTAGATTTTATAAGTTATCCTATCATATAATATTTGTAGAAAGATAATTTTATTTCTATCAGATTCTTTTCATTAAGGCGCATTAAATAGGGTTAATAGATAAAAAGATATTTCAATTTAAAAAATTTAACTACTATTTGTTATAATTTGTTGATCATTTACTTTCAAAAAATCATTAATCAAATTGAACTTTTTTTCGATTTTTACTTAGAAAATACTATAGAATTTATTACAAAAATATTGGTTTACATAATAAAATATTTTAAGGTATTTAAAATGTCTTTAATTAAAAAACAAAATTGCAGGCAAATTTGGCTGCAAAACAGTTTAAAAGATAAGTTAATCCTAACATCACGAAGTTAGCTTAATGTTAAACTTATATTTATTAAACACAATCAAATTATTAAATAAATATTTAAATTTTATACTTATTAAATACTTAATACTTTATAAATACTTACCGTATATTGCAGGTCACAATACTCCCCCTATGTATAGTATCTTTTTGAAAAATTTTATAAAATTATATAGTACTTAAAAGATATTTTACATTTATCTTACGACCCAGTGATTAGATTTGAGCAATCTTTTTTTATTTAATAGATTTTATTGAGCTCTTCAAAATAAAAAAAGATCGCTCAAATTAAACCAGTAAATCATGAGATATTTGCAAAAAATGGAATTTTTAAATTTTATTTAGTACTTGAAGGTACAGGGTCAAACCCGATTTTTGTAAGATACCTTGAATACTGTAGCCCACGATATATGATATTTATATTTAAAATAAATATTTAGTTATTACTATAGTATATTGCAAATTAAATATTAATTATAAATGCTTTTTAATTGCTGCTTTAAAAAAACATTCAAAAAATATTTTAAATTAATACTTATTAATTACTCTAAAGGAAATTACTATTTATTTGTAACTGGTTACTTAACATTTTATTAGGTGAAAGATCTTATGCATAAATTTTTGTAATTAAAGTAGATCATTATTAAGTCACTTAACTGATTATATATTTGACAATAGGAATCTTTAATGTGTCTGTCAGTTGTGTCTCCAGGTATATATAGGATATTATTCTATACTAGTGTTTCAATTCGTTAAGATATTATTTGCCAGATAATAAATATCTATTAAACAATTTGGATAAAACGGATAACGAATATATTGACGAATTGAATAAATCAAATAACAAATAATAATGAATCAGATATATTGGATGACAAATAATAACAGATTCATCTGATAAATATTCGACAAATTTAATTTATAATGATTTGGATTCTGCTAAATCATGTGATATTATACAAATTTTCAAAAAAGGAAATTTTAATTTCTGTGAAAATGGAAATTCTTTGTTGTTAACGATCAGTTAATGCCAGCTGGAATTATATCTTATACAAATTTTAATGGTATTAACAGATAATCCAGATAATCAGGACCCTGGATATCTCCAAAATAGGTCATAAGTCACACTTTCGGCAGATTGGCCCATTTTTCAGGGACTCAAAAAATCGTTTTTTGTAAATATCTCAGCATCTAGTGGTCCAATTTTGATGAACCTTTTTTTAACTTGTAGAGCTAAATGAGGGCTACAAAATAAAAAAAAGTTCATTAAAATTGAATCACTGGATGCTGAGATATTTACAAAAAACGATTTTTTAAATTTCAGCAAAAAGGGGTATTTTTGGCCAAAAGTCCATTATGACCTTTATATTAGATATCCGGGGTCCTAGATAATCCTTATGCAGATATTCAAATGACGGATTTTTAATTGGATCAAATTAATAGATGGCAAATTCTAATCAGATCAGATAAAATGGTGATGAATATCCTCAGATTGGAATACTATCTTATACTTCTTTTTCTTAAATATGATTAGCTTAAAGTATGATACAATTAATCACTATTAATCACAAATATCTTTAATAAAAATTTATTTTGCAAACGTGAAAAAATAATAAGAATAATTTTAATATTTTTAATTTACTACTTTAAATCAATAAAATACTTTATAATTATATTGTTTATTAAAATTTTAATAAATAGATACAAAAAAATTCTTAAACTAATTTTATCCAAGTACTAGCAGCGTCTAAGTATTATATACCTTCTGCATAGCGTAGTTTTAAACTAAAGTATAAAAATTATTTTGTAAAATAAATAGTATATACACGTACTACAGTAAATTTTATTGCAAAAAATAATAACAGTTTCATAAATATTTATTCAAATGTTATGATAAGGTTGCATAATAAATGTGAAACTTGGTAAAACTATATTAAAAACTTAATAATAAATTGGTAAAACCTAACTATAAAAATTATATATAATGGCGAAACTATAATAAATTCTTATAAAAAAATTGTCAAAACTGAGGTTTAGACGTTTTGCCAAATTCAAAAACTAGTTTAGCTTGCAACTATATGTTATGAAAATTAATATTCAAATTATTTCATGCCTATTAAACAACTTTACTATTTTGATAAAAGCTAGTTTTATTCACTCAAAGTAGGACCCCACTTACTTATCCCTTAAACTGTTTTGCAGCCAAATTTGCCTGCAATTTTGTTTTTTAATTAAAGACACTTTTAAATATCTTAAAATATTTTATTACATAAACCAATATTTTTGTAATAAATTCTATAGTATTTTCTAAGTAAAAATCGAAAAAAAAGTTCAATTTGATTAATGATTTTTTAAAAGTAAATGATCGACAAATTATAACAAATAGTAGCTAAATTTTTCAAATTGAAATATCTTTTTATCAATTAACCCTAGAAATATAAAATTACCACCATTTGATGCATCTTAATGAGAAGAATCTGATAGAAATAAAATTGTCCTTCTACAAATATTATGTGACAGGATAACTTATAAAATCTAAAAATTTATAAATTGATATAACTTTTCATCTATCAATTTTAGAGTTATGATTTTATTACCATTAAATGCGCCTTAATAAGAGGAATCTAACAAATATAATTTCATCTTTCTATGATCACTAGATCTTAAGATATTTTAAAAATTCAAAAATTTTTAAAATTAATTTTAACCCTACAGTTTAAGGGATAAGATAGGTCACCACCAGGCCTAAGGTAAAAATCATATATAAAATTCTTTGCAGATTCTATTATAAAAGGAAATTTTATGTTACATTGTTATGATTTTTTTTCTTTTTAGCTAATTAACCAATAGAATTTAAGAAAAAAATAAGGTAAAAACTATTAGTAAAGGGCTAATTTTCTACAGTGACCTTTATTATAAGTAAGCGGTATCCTCTCAAAGTACTTAAATTATGCCAATAATGCCATAAAGTACCTGTATTGAAATGTTCAAAAAATAAGTATAGTTTGATAAATGCAATCACACCTCCATAAGTGCACCTTAGCAGAAGCAAAAAGTGCTAAATTAATGCAGATCAGTTATGAGTTATATATGTGATGTTTATTAGCCAATGTCAAAATGTAGAAAAAAAATCCTGTCAAAAAGCTGAAATGCTGAAATAATTTTGACATTAAATAATATATCATACTAGATAAGACGATGCAAAGGATTAAGATCTCTGAAAATGTTCAAAGATTATTAACTGGTTTATTTTTAGAAAGGAAAATAAGGTTTTTACCTCAGGAGGTTTAACAGAGCCGTATGATGTGCGCGTTAGTATAGATCAAAAAGAGATCATATCACCCTTGTTATGAATAATATATTACGACCCCTTGTTATCAAGAGTTAAAGGATCGGATTTAGGATATCAAGTTGATGAATGTCAAAAAATAAATATATATAAAAACATTAGTAAACCTTTAGCCTTTAACATTCCAGGCTTGGCATATATGGATGATACGAATTTCATAGCTGACTGTAAAGACAATTTGGAAAGGATCTTCCTATAAAAAATAAATGTCCAGAAAATGTCTATGAAAATATCCAGAAATTGTCCAGAATAAATCTGGCATGTTCAGAAATTGTCTGGAAAATGTCTATTTTTTGCTACAAATTTGATACCTAAAATTTTGACATATCCGGACTTTGTTCAGAATATATCCAGAAATTGTCCAGTATAAAATTTTGGACAAATTCCGGATAGATAAACCTGGACAAATTCCGGATATAGTAAAAATTCAGATAATTTGAGCTGGACAAATTCTGGACGCTACTTCCAAAAAAAGATAAATTAATTTTGTAAAAAAAATGCAAAAAGCACAAGACTGACATTCATAACCTTCTTTGTCATACTAATTAAATTTGCTAAGCAGGCAAAAATACTATATATCTATAATATAAAACTTTAAGTTAAAAGCAATTATAATGGTCACCTGTTGATCATCTTTTTGTACCAAATTTTATGAAAAAATATTTCAGGTCAATTTCCGGACAAATTCTGGATAAAATGAAGTATCCAGAAACGAGTGTGTTTTCGGAACAATTTCCGGACATGGTACCTGGCATTTTCTGGACATTTTCTGGACAATTAATTAGACAAATTTTCTGGACAATTTCTGGACAATTTCTGGACACTTATTTTTTATAGGGTCTTGGAAATTGCAGATTTGTTCTATTCTTTAAACAACATTAAGGTTAACAAAGAAAAATCAGAACTATTTTGAGAAAAAGAAAAATACTTCCAGGAGATAACAAAGTTAATATAAGATTTGGAAGTACAGATTTGAAATTAAAACCAACAATGAAAAAAGGTTCGATAAGAATGTTTGGAGTCTGGTTTAATGCTTTTAATAAGAAGGATCACGTCATAAAACAAATTAAAAAAGAAATAAGAAATTGTTGTCAGTCTATGATCTTACGGAAAAATAAACAAATGTTATATATATTCAATACGTTAATTATACCAAAAGTCAAATATCATACACAACTATTAATTCTTTCAGATAGGCATTTAGGACCATTTTTAAGAATAAATTAGGATTAGCACAAACAGAGCCAAATGATAGTTTAAAAAATTTTCACAATAATCAGTTACAAGCCAAAATTACGAATTTCATACTTCAGCTTAATGATAAAATGAATTAGGAAAGATAACTAAAATTAGGCTATTTAACTTACAAGAATTATTATTATTAGCCGAGAATCCCTTAATAGCTTTGACTTCAGAAGATATAATTAATTTTAAGAAAATTCTTAAAAAACAATTATTTAATTCGTTCATATTTGATAATATAAAATTGATGAAGAACATAATTTTAGTATAAGTGATTACAAAGTCAGTTTATTTTGAGAATTTTATTTCGATTAAAAAGCTGAATATAATTTTTTTAGATCAAATGTTAACTTTAGATGGAAAAAGTTTGTTAACCCACAAAGAGATACTTTACAAAAAATTCATTAAGAAAAAATTAATTCAAACAAATATTATTAAGAATAGATGGTTAAAATTTAGAGATGGTCAGTCGGTCCTGCGGTCTTTGATCGGTCCTGATCGGTCTTTAGGAAATTTTTGGAAAAGTAATAAGGCTGTGCTTCCAATTTTTTGTAGCACAACAGAACTGATTAAAGACCAAAAAGTGGTAAATTTTGGTCTCAATCTAATCACCCAATTTAGAGCTAGGCAGGTTTTTATTTTGCCAAAACCAGTATTTTTTGCTTTTTTCGGTCTTTTTCCAATTTTGCCTCTGCTGGTCTTAAAAAAAGAAGTATAAAGGCCAAATTTTGACATTTATTGGTCTTTAGCCATACTCGCTGCGCCTTAAAAATTCAAGGGTGCATTCCTTATAACTTTCCCAAAGACCGGGCAGGACCGTCCAGGACCGAAAGACCGACTGACCATCCTTATTAAAATTAGAAACCGAATTGGTAGATAATATTTCGATTAATAGGAAATTAAAAAAGATATATACGAAAAAATTAATACACAGTACGCGTCAAATTTAAAATGGTGCCAATAGCAGCAGATCCTCTTGCTAAAAAATTCATTGGGACGATTAAAAATGTTATGTTAGAACAAACATATTATATGGGAAAGTAGTTGGTATGGAAGTCGCTTTAATTAATATAGCGCATTATATTGTAGTAAGTGAGTCAGAAGACTTTAATGTTGTGTTTAATAAATGTATGAATGTGTTTTAGATGATAGGTCGTTATTAGATATGCCAAAATTTAAACAAGACCCGTGTGTCTTTTCGACTGAATTAAAGATACTTTACGATAATTTTTTTAAAAATAATCCAAATAGTTATTTGGCGGACGATATTAGAAATTAAAATTGAAGATGATAATATGGGTGTAGAACACCAAAATGTTATTAAAAATTTATCATGGAAGAAAAATGTAATAACAACTTAAGTAAAAAAAGTAGTAATAACGGAGAAAAATACATATTTATGTTGATGGATCAGTAGTTAATAGTGGAATCGGAAAATATAGTAGGATTAGCAGGTTTGACGAAAATCATAATTTAATAGATGAATTATATGCGACAATCGAGAATTGGATTACGTCGATTAAGGCGGAAACGTTTGCCTTTTTGTTGGAGTTATTTATTGGACATGATATCGAAAAAGTTTATATATATACGGACAGTGAATTGGTTTATAACCGTTTCAATGATTTAGTTAAAAAAAATGATTTCGTTAATGCACGTAAAATTTTCAAAGAACAAAATAATTTATATTATTGGGCTTTGATCAAGTTAAAGTTAAAGCACATGCGGATACCAATTTCATAATATATTGGATGGAAAAATTTAAAAAAAAATAGTCGATATTAATAGAGTTTACACAATAAAAATAGATTTTATTAATATTCCTTCGATTGACTATATAGTTCTTTGGAATAACATAATAGTAGAAAAATAATTACGTCGCTTTATAAGATATAATACGGAAATTTGTAATCTAGAAAATTTCTTCAATTTAAATAGAAATTCGAAATATATCCAAGTGGAAGTGGATTGGTCTTTAACCTTTGAATATTTAAAAGAGGGAGAAAAGGTGTTAACGACCTCATTTTGGACAACAAGGAGAAGAAGGAAGAAAATACAAAGGCTAATTGAAGAGATGCCTACAATAGAACAATGTAAAAAATCAGCGTATGAAATTTATAAGAACTGGAAATGTGTGATAAGAAAAGGTTAAAGGACATTATTGGAAAATCAATAAAATTTCTAGCAAACGAGATTATAAATTTAGAAAAATATAATTGCGATGTGAAAAAATTAGAAAATTTGTTTAACAACGAAAAGTTCGGGAAACTTTTAGTTGACGAAAGTAATTTGACATTTACAGATTTGATTAAAGGTATATTTCCGCTTAAATTATCTGAATTTATATCAAGCGAATTTAAAATGAATATCGAAGATAAAGTCAAAGTGGCTATACGACGAAACCAAAATAATTTGGAACGAAAGATGAGAGTTACAAATTTTAAAAGAAAAAAAAAATTGAAAATAAATAAAAAGAAAAAAATAAGTATAGGAGGCAAGGGATATAGATTGATATTTAGAAAAAAATAGAAGTATATCAACGCAAGTGCCTAGACTGGGAGCAGAGGGCTTCTGAATAGCATATATTTCAATAAGAAACCTTCCGGGATATTAAAATTTTATTTTATTTTGTTTTTTTCGTTCTTTTATTTTATTTATTTCTTTCCTTTTGCCCTTTGGAGTAAGTTTTCTTTTTATTTCAAGGTAAAATTTTGAGCCCGACATCCGGAGCGGTATGTCGGATGTCGGATTGTCACGTGAATCAAGATTTATACTAAATGATCAATATTGAAATAAACAAAATAAAAAAGTTCAATTATACAACCAATTATTTCATGCTATCATGACACAATTAATGCTTTCATTACATATTAGATAGCAAATAATTAGAAGACTTGACAACTCGGCAAATTGCTAAACACCTTGGTATTAGTAAGTCAGCTGTTGATCGCGTATGCCAATATTTAAGAAAACATAGAGAAAAGCTTCCTTTATTTTCAACTCTAATGACCTAAAATACCTTGAAGTTCTGCTTAAAGAAAGATTGACTAGTATTTGTATGAACTTCAATCAGAAATGGAACTTTGGATGTGAAGAAGTCTAAGTATTTCAACATTATGCCGAACTTTACATAGACTTGGATATACGCACAAAAAAGTATATAATTTTTATTCCAGAAACATTTATTTTAATAATTAATATATAAATATAAATATGATATGAATCAATAATTCAGTTCATTCATATGATTATATGAGTTACGTTAACTATCGACATACCGGGTTCAAAATTTTACTTTGTCCCGAATAATATGAAAACAGCTTTAATACATGCAAAAAAAAAATAAATACAAAGCTGTGAACAAAGTTCACTGATAAATGACGTTTCTATGCTAATATACATGATTATTTTTTCTTAATTCTTTCTTCCACACGACGCTTCTTAGTCGCGAGTTCATCACTAACTGACGCCCTATCCTTTAATAAACCCACTATAATCCCCAAGATCCTCTCACATTTTTACGCAATTCGGCTGGATCCTCTTCTGTTAGTGAAATTCTATACTCAGTCCTGGCTCTATTTAGCATTCACCCAAATTTTGATTGTTATCAGGAATTTTTTGGCAACTTTCAGAAACGTTTATCAGTGACATTAATACAGTTGCTACTCCTGTTACTATACCAATATTATTACCAAAAATTGGCAATGAAGGAGCTCTAGTAGCAACTAAATATGTACCAACTAAAGAGAAAAAAAGTGTTGCTATAATAAATATGAATCTTAATTTTTGGCAATATTGAAGTATAAGTGGTGTTGATAAAAAGCCTACTGCAGTAATTAATGAAGCACCATATACTTCCCAATGATTAATTTCTTTAAAATCGGGTTGACATTTTAAAAATGGCCAAAAAATCACCAAAATTTTAGCTGCCATATCAACAAGTGGAGAAAGTACGTTAACAAATATTTTTATATATTTTATAGTTTTATTTTCAGTTTCATCTTTACATCCAAAATCCTGAATCGTAGTTTTAAAAAGTACTAACAATAACCAAAATCCTAAGGTTATACCATATTCTCCTTGGCATACTTCTTTACCACACATTAATGGACAAGGCATAGATTTATATTTATCGTAACCGATAACGTTGATTATAACAACATTTTGTATTATAGCAAGAGCTAATTTACTTATTGTTGTCACCCACCATGGAAGAAAATTTAATTTGCAAGTAGTTTTATCATGTTGTTCGTTTCTTTGACAGCAAGATTTTTTGCAAGCTTTAAAAGTTATAGCAAATATTTGTAACAATATAAAGGAAATAGTAACCCAAGTAACAATTCCAGATTGAGCCCAGTATTTCTCTAAAATTGTAAATTCTGTGTTATCAACGTTAGTAGCATTAACATTAGTCGTAGTATTCACATTATATTGCGCTTTTTCAATAAAAACCAGAGCTAAAAACATTTTAATTCTCAGTTAATTCAATGAAATTATCTAGGTATTCGGGTTAGGTAACAAAGACGTGGTATAATGATTTACTAGCTTTAGGTAGTTAGCCTTCATTCTAATCGGACCTTATATATATACGTTCAAACGGATAAGTGAGATGAGATTAACGCCATGAATAGTGGGATCATGAATAGTGAGGCCACGATATGAATAGTGGGATGATTATGCGTTTTTATGTCATACTATTATGTAGCATGATGTGTCCCATTGCAAGATACACTCAGAATAGAATTGTGGATGATATTTATAAGTGGCGTTGTGGTGTCAAAAAATAAATATAATCAGTGCTATGTGACACGCTTGTGCACAAATCCATTTTTTTTTATTATTCAGCATAGAGAAAAGAATGCCAAAAAGCTTGTGCCAAAATACTACAGTTTATGGTTAGACCAGTGTTTGCAATTTGCCCAATTGGGCATTTGGACATCCAATTGGACATATGTTGACTCTATTCGATTTTATCAAATAATGTGTTTTATTTTATATTAAAATTTTTATAAACAATGTAAATCTCTAACACAATAAAATAAATCGCATAATAAGCAAGTCAGACAAAAAGGGTTTACTAACTGTCTTGCCTTCTTTTTATATAATTTGTAGCAGTCCAAGAGTCGAATTTGGAATAAATCTTCAGGGAATTATGATGTCGTCACGGAAAATCAGATCAATGGATTCGCTCAAAGACATAATAAAAGCCTTGATCGCTAACCATATGGGATCGTGCCTCATGAGTATCTGCGGGAAAGTTCGAGAATATTACGCGTTTACAAGATGTTGCGGTTAATTTTTTTTACAATCATCTTAACAATAATTTTCCCGAATATTATAGAATATCATACTGCGCATTTATTGGGATGCAAATACAATCCCTCAATCCCCACAACCATACTATGCGGAATTTATCATGTAAATATATTGTGCTTAATGCATCTTTGCTTTATTGATTGTAAATAAAAAGTACATATCAGATCTTAGATCGTGATACAACTTCGCTTATACACAAGACATGATAAAGTCTTATTGCGTCTATTCTATCCACCTCCTGATACTTGCTAAGTTCATTGTACCATCGCCCTAACCTAATAGTCCGTTTCATTTGTTTGCATTCGTGATTAGTAACGAGATCCTTGGAATGGAAACTAGGTATTAGTCCTAATGACAAAAAAGTACTAAAATCTTATGTCGCATAGCTCTATCCTCTTTGATCTGTTGTTTTGCAAAAAACCTCTAATCTGATAATTTTAACCGAGCTATGAACAGAGCGAATAGCATTTTCCTGATATCATGCTGCACATTCAGGTGATCGATCTCACATGAAGTTTTCGTTATGCTACGATCTCGAACTTAAGTTTATTGCTTGAAGTGTTGCAGGCAAGACAATATTCTATTCCATTTTTATACCATTCGCCATGTAATCCATAATTTCCATGTTTTCCATCACCAATAGGGCATGGTGAGCTTCACGGCTGGGCAGATACAAAATTATAATTATCAATCCCTCTAAAGCTATTTCGGAATTTCAAGTATGAGAAATGCTCTAACACGGATTTGATAATTAACTCTGAATCAGGTTTGGCTTCGATATATCAACTCTGCTATCACTTCCTTATCATTCTGTGGTTGTCCATTTACTTCAGTAACACCCTGTTCCAATATTGCGAGACTGGCCTCAAGCTCCCCGATTCTAGACTTGAGTTCAGTATTCTCAACATCACGCTTGGCATCTTTCTCTATAACCTGCTTTAGAAGTTCAGCATTCCTGGCCTTTCTCAGCCTCGAGCTTAACGTTCTTAGTCTCAAGCTCGCTAATGCATTGTCTCAATAATTCAAGCTCTGATGACATGATCTACAAAACTATACACTGTACATAGCATTCAAAATAAAAAAAAATCATGTGCGCATGAACAATTGTTCACGCCGATCACTTTTGCCAAGAAAAATTTTTATTAAAAATAAATACAAAGGTTCGGGACTTTGCCCGGGATACATGACGATTTTTTCTATGCTAATGCCCTTATTTCTGAAATATTAACTCAAGACACGTCTATCCTAATTATCCATTTTTACCCGCTTTCCATCAACCAATGATGATTTCTGCTGATCAAAAACCCACCTGATTTGCTTCTTGATAGATCCAACTAGGTCATCGCGGAATAATGATGGGTAGTTGACCATCACCATTATCATTCCCATCTCCAATACCACTTTGAACTTTTGTTATTACCTAATCGACGCCTGAAATTGAAATATCAAATAAAAGAGTTAGTAATAATCGCATTGATTTTGATCAAGCAGTTCACATTTTTTCGAATTTGTTTTACAAACATACCAGTTGAGACAATGCAGTACATTACACCTTCATACAAATCAGCGTCATCATAAGTACGTTTTTTTTTGCGATTGCATTGCATAGATGCATGTGCTTGGACAGTACTCTGGGCGATGCCTTGGTTAAGATCTTCTCGTCTTGCTTCAGTTACAGAAATAATTGTGTCTCCCATTTTGATCACCCAATCGATGGGACCCTTTCCATGACTTCCGGCGACTCAATACTGGTGATAAACTTTCACAGTGCCATCGAAGATGGACGCTACACCATATATAATCGCAGAAATAAATTCACAGCGGGTGGCCTCATTTGTGCTAGTGATGGATGGGGACGCCTTATGCATTATTAAAAAAATCCTCAATCACACTGTTCCTGATCTCTTCTGAAGTTGCTGAACTTCCAATCTCAATACATGGTAATTGATCATAGCTATCAGCGAGAAGAAAGTATACGAAGAGAAAGGTTGTTGCGCTATAAAAACATAAAATTAACGGATCAGACATCGAAATGCGAAGTATCCCAGGTATATCAATAACACTTACACGTATCCACAACAATTTCCAGATCCACCTTGGGGTTAGTAGTCCAGATAATTCTCAATAAATCCTCGTCAGCAGAAAATTGAATAACTTTACGCTCTGTCGTAATCTCCACCGTATCACTTTCTATTGTTGCACTCTGGGAACTTGAACTTGCTGTTTTTATTTTTTACGCATTTTGCCTGTTGAAATTTTTCTCTTCAAGCCAGCGCCACCTACTACACGACCTATTACGATATGTTCATTTTCTGTCCCATCCGGGAACGTTAAATATTCACAAAGCTTCTTCTTAAAATCTTCCAATGACACCATTTCTCGGGTCACTGTCCATTGAAAAATCACACTCTTACGATCATACGTTGCGGTACAATGTACTTCTTTCGTTTCAACAGGACTCTGTACGATATATGTATGTGTTCGTCGGTTGGCTGGGAGGGAAAATGTTTGCTAAACTTCGAAAGTGGAAGCAGTTCCACACCACCAAGCTCCTCCTTGATATTAACGTTTATCGAGCTTAAGTTTTTCGTTTTCTTCATCGAGGGAAATGTCGACCTTCCATAACTTGAGGTCTTTTGCCTTAATATTATCGTCAATTTTTTCCTTGATAACTCCTTGAGTTCACTAACCGCCACTGTCTTATTAACTTTTACGTTGAAAGCATTTTCATAAGGGTTTTCACCTGAGAGTGATAGATATTAAAAAAATAGTGTTACGTTAGACCGGACGAAGTAGTACCCTAGCCAGTACCCTAGCCACGGCAAAAAAAAAGTAGCAGCCACGTACGTGACGCCGAAGTCGTAAAATTAAAATATTGACAAATTATTTTGTTAAAATTTGTAAATATAAGTTAATACTTTCGTCTGAGTCAAAGAAATAAAACATTACAGTAAAACACGTTTCAGTACTACTAAATTATTAATTATTTATGCATAAAATCTCACGATTCGCGTTCTAAAATAGATTATTAATGAGAGCATAGCGAACATCCCTTATATTGTCACATTATTGCCGATCATTTGCCGATCATTTATTTATCATCTTTTCAATATTGTCACATAAAAAAATACTATCTGGTTACAGCAAAATTCAAAATATACGGGACACTTGAAAAATTTGATTGTCAGGTTGTCGGGTAGCTGGGTTACTCGGCAGTAGGTTATTTATTAGAAAAGTATAAATAACACATGACATGAGTATAATAGTAGTATATCAGATTATATAATAATCTATTGCCGGCTATCCGACAATCCAACAATCAAATTTCTCAAGTGTCCCATATATTTTGAATTTTGCTGTAATATATAAAGCTGAAATGATGTTTTATTTGACAATTTTGAGGGTAAAATTGATCAATATTAACAGAAATTATATCAATACATGTAAATTTTTATAATTAATAAATAAAATGAAAATTCAAATTTTATAATCTTGAGATCCAGTGAACATATTCTAATGAATTATATACTATTAGATTGGTCTCAGTGAGAGGATTCGAATGGTAGTAAAATCATTGCCATCAGATCCATATTGGCGAAGTTATTGCATTTTAAATTTTGTACTAAATTAAATAGTAATATTATTAGTATTAATAATTGCAAATATTAATTTGGCCATAACTTTTGTGTTACCTAAAATTATGCTGTGTTACTTCGGCCATTAATTTTAAAGACATTAATCTATAACTCATAAAAATTTCAAGTTTTGCCCAAACTTCTGTGGCTTCGCCCGAAGCTTCAAAGTCTGATTAGGAGATAATCAGCATATATTAATTAATTGAAAAATTTGGCCTAAAACTAACTTTGGCATTACATTTTATTTTGGCACAAAATTTTTATATTAAACTGTTGATACTTTAAACTATTAAATAAAATAATTTAATGTGATTTTTTTACACATTTATAGTTTGAAATAATGCTTTAAAGTTAATGTGATGTACCATACACTGGTCAAAATCAATACTATCGGGTACATATCAGGTACCTGATATGTGTATAATATATGTGATATATGTGTATGATATTTAACAATACCACACATATCAGGTACCCGATATGTGTAGTAGAAATGTAGAAAATCGGTGACATATACTGTAAACATCATGTATACATCTTACACATATCGGGTAGTTAAATATCGGTGACATATCTTGTAAACATCATGTATATATCTTATACATATCGGGTAGTCAAATATCGGTGACATATCTTGTAAACATCATGTATATATCTTATACATATCGGGTAGTCAAATATCAGTGA